GAGAATAATCAAATTCCAAATACATTCATAATGTTATAAAGAATGATTGTTTCTATTTATGAAGTGAGAGCAAGTAGTAGTGTTGTGTGATAAGCGCGTGCGTGAGGGTTCTTGAGCATCGATCAAATGATTGGCTAGCAGATCAGTAGAGATAGATATCGAAAGTTTGTGACTTGTAATAGAAGCAAGTGGAGAGGTGCATGAGAGGAAGAGCTGGTAGTGCTAATAAATCACTGGTGGGCTGCGTGAGTGATCAATTAAGATCTCGAAATCTAAATGATGAAAATTTGAAAGTCGTCTCTAATGTGAGAACATGAGAGCTTTGAGAGAGGATTCTAATGAGCAAGAGATGATCACGCAGGTCAGAAATCTCTCTGATAGCTCAAGAATCAAATATCAAAAAAGTCCAAAGATCCTCTTCCAATCTTGTGTTCTTGTTTACAATGGAAGGAAGATGCTGTTTGATCACTGAGATCATGCCACTGTCACTTAATTATATATATATGTGTGTGTGTGTGTGTGTGTGTATCTATATATGTATGTGTATATCTATATATGTATGTATGTATGAGGTTTTTTTTGCTTTTTTATTTTTAATTTTTTTTTGTCCATTTACTTTATTAATATTAAAAAAAAATTCAGTTATCATTTTCTTATGACACAGATTACAGGTTTGACGGATTATTTCTGTTGATTTAATTTATTTTTAATTTGTTTTTTCTTTCAATTTTATATTTTAATATCGATTTGATTGAAAATTAAATTTCATGATTTGTTTTGTTTATTTTTCATTAAATTATCGTGATCTCATTAGGGGATTTTACTATACTTCTCCTCGCAAAATATTATTCATTGAAATAATGTTTTACCTTATTTTTTTATTTTTTTTATTTTTTAATTAATCTTTTTTTATTCTTTAATATTAATTTTTTTTTATTTAGTCATTACACTTTCATGACACCACATTGCAATTAGACCTATATTCAAGGCTCATGGATCTAATATTGTAGCTAAATCCAAGGTTCTTTGGCTTAGCATTGTAGTGAGACTCTCTTAAATTTGGGTCATACAAGTTTAATATTATTATTAATATTAAAAAAATTATTATTTTTATTAAAATTATTATTTTTTATAATTAATATTGCTAATATAATAATTGATAAATTTTAAAAAATATTATTAATATTAAAAAATAACCATAGATTTGATTTAAAAAGTAAAAATAAAAAGTATAAGAACTTAGGTAAGGCATGTTTAATATTATTATAAATATTATTATTGTCATTATTATTAATATAATTATTAATAAATTTGAAAAAAAATTATTGCTATTGAAAGAAAAAAACTCGTAAATTTGATTTGAAGGATAAAAATAAAAATTGTTATTGTTGTCATTGTCATAATTTTTGTTGTTATTCTTATTATTATTATGATTGTTAGTGTTATTCATATTCTTAATATTTTTATTATTTTTATGCTTATTAAATTTAAAAAAATATTATGATTATTGAAGAAAAACCATAAATTTGATTTGAAGGGATTAAAAACTATAAAAACTTGGATTAAAGAAGTTTATTATTATTATTATTATTATGGAATTAGACTCTAAAAACTTGGGTTTGGATGGGGCGTTAGATCCAAGTTTATAATCATTAGTATTATTTTTATTGTTGTCATTATAATAATTATTATTATTAATTTTTTATCTTTTTTTAATTTGTTTTATTTTATCATTTGATATTGGGATAATTAAAAATTAAGTTTTATAATTATATTTATTTACTTTTTATGAGGTTATTATAATCTTAAAAAAAATGTGTCTTAATATTCTCTTAATTTTATGGTTGTCTATTTTTATTATCATATAGTTAAATAAATAATAGTTTAAAGGAATAAAAACAAGTTATTAATCTCAATGGAGTTCATCCGGTTTGTGGGTTTGATATATTGATATGGGTTACCCGATTTACTGGTTTAGTTGGTTTACCCATAAAATCTGATTTTTTTTGTCCTTTAATTTTTCTAATTAATTTTTTATTTTACTATTCTTCAATATTTGATTAGTTGAAAAATAAAATTCATAGTTTATTTTTTCTATTTTATATAGAGTTATTACAATTTCAAATAAACATCTTTTTTAGGGTTGCTGCTAAATTTTGTAAGTATCTAATTTTATCATAAAAATAAATTAAAAAACAAAGTTATTATATCCATTAAAATTCATGACTTAAATCACAAGGTGACTAAGATCAATCCAATTTGGCATTGTCTTAGTATTTAAAAAATTATTATTATTTTAAAGTTTGTTTTAAATAAAGTTATTATATCCATTGAACCCATAACTAAAATCGCAGGGTGACTGAGGTCAATTTAATTTGGCATTATCTCAATATTAAAAAAAAATATCATTTTAAAGTTTAAAAAAAAATTGTTATTTTTTTATTAGTTATCCGAATTGTTTTCAAACCCATTAAATGAAATAATTTCTTTTTAGATCAGTTCTCACGTTATTTAATTTAAAATTTGAGTTAAGCAAAAAACTAGGTTGATAGATTTTGGGATCATTTGATTCAATGATATTGTCAAAAAAATATCTTAATACTCTTAATATGCTTTTTAATTTAAAAAAAATAGTCTGATTGGCAGTAAATATAGTTATATGTACTAGTAAATTCTAATAAAAATTAGAATTTAAATCTAGAGACAGCATATCGGTTCAAAAAACCATTGCTTTGTTCTGTAAATTAAAGACAAATTTGTGCATGAGATGGTGACCATATATATTGGAGTAAATAGCTAAATAGGTTGTCGGCCTTACCATCAAAGTCCAATCATTTTTATTTTTTTTTTACTGCAAAAAATGTATGCACAAACACATGAGGTGTATCGAAGCTTGATCCAAAAACATCAACTAGCTGTAAAAGCTACTAAGTTCAACGCTCCAGTCTGCATAGTTTCAAGACAATATTCTGAAGAATGAAGAAGACAATGAGCGGGAGGTGTGTGCAAGACACAACATATATTTCCTCGTATCATAATTAAACATATTTGTGTTTTGTTCAATTTTACAGGATTTTTTTACTTCAATCATTCGAATTTCCAAACTAGATGATCAATTGTTACAAATTATCAATATTGATCTGGAAAATATACTCACAACACGGCAAAAAGAGATCTTGCAAGTTTGTGTTAAGAGCTAAAAAAACACATGTAACAATGAGAGTCTAAAAATAGAAGAGAAAATGGAACAAACCTTCGAAATTAAAGAGGAGGAAAAACAGAAAAATAAAACAGTCAAAATAAGGTAAAATCCAAACAGTAGCAAACCTGTTAACGAACTTAAACAATGAACTTCATAACCTCTCTTCTAAACACATGTTTCTTTAGATTTAAGAAACAATAAGCCAAGACTCCCTAATGGAAAACCAAAAAGAAACAATGGATTGTCATTGCAGAAGGTAGCTTTATATTCCTTGAATGCAGAACAATAATATTTTATTTAACTTCAATTACAACATCCAATTAATTTTATCAGACAAACTCTGTTGAAATGTGTTCTTGAGCATCGAATTAATGCTTCACACTGCTAAAAAGCAAAAGAAAAGAAAATGCAAGTTGGAAGCGAAGCATGGCTGAGATAGTTGTTACATACCAGTCGTAAAAAGGCACATTATACGGTTGTTGATGTGGCAATTTCCACTCGAAGCTAAAAATGCCATCTGACCATTTTGCCATGACTTCACGTTGATGTTGTTGTTGTTGCCGATGGCATCTTCCTTCTAAACCTAACACCATAAACATTCGGAGAAGAAAAACAGGGCTTAAAATGGTTTGAATGGAAAAAAAACACTTAAGCAAACCTGTAAATTTCATGTACATGAACAATGCGTAGGTTTTTTCTTCATAACCAAAGAGAAAGGTTGAATTATATAAATAAATAAATAAAGATAAAACTTTACTGTTTTTTTTTTTCTTGATAGCCAAAAGTAAAAATTAGATGTGATCCTAATTGTGAATCGAGTTAGCGCGATTGGCAAGTGGTTCAAGACCGTGAACGGAACTTTTAAGTGTTTTTTAAAAAGCATAACATTGATTTTTCGGTATTAAAAAAAATCAAATACCAAAACCCGCCAAAAAACTCAAAGTAGAGGAAGCAGGGATCATCATCCAATGGCGCACAAACCCATACAAGCCCCCCTTCTCTAATAAATGTAGAAAGAAGGCGGAGAAAAAGAGGACAAAGCAAGCATAATATATTTGAATAAAACCAAAAACACAAAGATTAATCAAACGCAGGTGAAATATAGCTCAAATCCTGGAAACGATCGAAAACGCAACAACAGACAAAAAACGCAAGTGACAAAAGAGGGGGGAAAGAGCATGAGTGTGTGGAAAATACGTACATGGAAGATACAAGTAACATGACTCCTCAGTCCAATTATGGCCGGCTGGTCTTCGCTCATTAACAATTATATCCGTAACGTTCTTCGTTAAACAATATTAAAACACAAGACATGAATATGCTCAGGGCAGATAGCAGAACGTTGATCCTCCAACCAATATGCTTGGTGGGGAAAACAACCCAATATCCTCCCACGCAGGTCAAATTTGAGAATTGGAAAATGACCACCCAAAATTTACAAGATTACCAATTCTTTGTCAGCCGACGAACCTGGTCTCCTCTCTTGGTAGCTTGCACTCGAACTTTTAGAGGTTCCCATGAAGGAAGAAATTCAGCATCTTGTTTCACCATATCCACGGTTTCAGTTCAATGACTTCACAGCAACTCCTCTACCTTCACCAAGCCCAAGAACAAGTAGTAATTGGTTATCGTGACTGGGTGTTTATTAGATCCCCATTACGTATTACCAGTGTAAAAAATTCAAAGAAATCATCCAAGCAAAAACCTAATGAGTGGTTGGTTGAGCTCACTAAGCTAACATAAACACAGTGATCCAAACGATCAGAGACTCGAAGGCGCACAACATGTACATCATAAATTAGAAAGGAAAAATTCTGTTGATACTTGAAATAAGTTATCAATTAAGATTTGTCATATTCACAACAGTAAGAACAAGGTAATAAATGCACTGAACAGCTTCAAAAACCCACTAGGTACACTATTCATTGAGATCAAAGGAAAATCTATCATCCTGTAGTAGAACTCTTGATATTTACTGATGAGAAAGAGATATCATTGCATGTATTACTTATAGTAACAAAAAAAAAAAATTGATTCGCCCTGAAAATAACAGGGAAAAAAAAAAAAAACAACGATGACTTGTGCTTGTTCCGATAATCATCTGACACAAGCTTCGCTTTCTTTTACTATACTACTTTTACCAATGCTTTCACAATCCACTGCAGCAACTTGAGCATATCCATTTCTGTTTGAATTGGATGACAGCACCTCCACTTTCCTCCTTTTCTTCTTTTCCAGCATGGCTTTCGCAAGTGCATCCACAATCTGTTGCTGTGACTCTAGTATCATCTGGTTATGCTTCAACCCCATTTCCATCCTCATTTTCTCAATCTCCATCGCCATGTCCATCTTCATCATCTCCACCCTCACAAAGCTTTCTGTAGCCTGCTCAATTGCTGACACCAACAACGCAACCGAATCTGCCTCTCTCTTAACTCCATCACCATTGCCATTCGTCTCAACATTCACAGACCCCTTCAAAGCCCTTGAGCGAGAATCAGACCTTGACTTCCCATCAATATTTCCACAGTTATTTGGTATAAACCCTGGAAATGAGGAACTCCAACCATCATTAACCTTTTTGCCAAGCCTGTCTCTTTTATCAATTCTATAGTCAATCTCCACATGATCATCATCACAGAAATAAGGAGTGGGCTTCCTATCAATATTTTTATAGTTCTTTGGGTTAAGCCCCTGCATCGGCAAATTCCTATCACCTAAGGACTTCAGCGGAAACCCCTCGTAGACATCGACACCTTTAGAAAAATCACTATTATATGAGCCATAATGATCAGCCATCATTCCGTGATCCGGTAATCTAACTCCCTGAGGCATAAAGCGCCTATCCCCTTGTGTCTTTTCCATTTTATAACCAACCTCGCCTCCATGATCACATGGAAAACCAACATTAGCCTTAATATTCCCATTAACTCCAACATAATCATTAGGTCTAAATGCAACAGAGCTAACACCAAACCCACTTCCCGAATCCTTACTAATGTTGAAACCTCCATCAACCTTGCTATATTTCCTAGCCCGAAGAGCAAAATCTGGATCCAAATCCCCATTAATTTTCCCATTCTTTTGAGCAGTCAGCAAATTCCTATCTCCTAACGTTTTTACACAAATCCCATCTCCAGCATCATTCCCTTTATCGAATTCTTGCTCTACTTTAGACCCTAGAGACCCAATTTCCATTGAATCTAACAAAGGGAACAGATCCCAAGAAGAAGAAAACCGACCTGGGTACTTTAGACACTTCTGTTTTTCCGCACGATACCGTTTCCGAAGCTTCTCGATCTTGTGGCGGCACTGGAGGGACGATTTAAGTGGGACGGCAATGGCCACGGCTTCCCAGTCGGCGACGCGGAGGTTTCCGCGGTTGACGGAGTACCATTTGTCACGGTAGGCTTTGATTAGGGCAAGTGACTCTTCTTGGGTCCAGCATGGCGGAGGGACCCGCTTGGTGGTGAAATCAGAAGATGGTGCTGTTGACATGGTGGTGGGTGAATGATAAGGAGAGGAAAAAAGAGGCGTAGGTTAGGAAAGGAGGAGAGAATGGGTCGCTGGTGGCGGTTATTGTTGTAGTTAAAGGCATTGCGAGGATTGGGGAGGGAGTTTAAGAGGGGGCAACCGCCTGACGTGGGATTGGTTGAGGGATGGGGGTGCGCACAATGAGACAGACTAATCTCTAGTAGTAGTAAATAGTAACAAAAGAAATTGGCACCAACTTCGCCGCCACCCACGCCGAAGACGCACTTCCGGGTCGCTGCTCCTTTTTGGTGGGGGTGGGGTATCATATGGTGTGTAAAGTGGTTGAAAAGTTAATTGGTCCCTTTTGTTTTATTACTTGGACCGGAAATGAACAATTGGAGTGGGGCCTACAGAAAACATGTTAGGGAAATTATCTCTCTAAAAAGATTGATGGATTTGAAATTGAACCCGAAATGATCTGGAGCCAGACGCGCTACCATTGCGCCACGGATCCTTACGGTGAAATCTTCCGTCTAAAACAGTAAAATAATCTTTATATCCATCCGTCTTAAGGAGGTTAGTTCATGGATTCCAACTCCCTGCTCCCCATGTGGACACACAACGGTGGTGGCAGCATTTAGCCAATGAAGATACAACCAAGATGATGGGCATGGAAGAGAATGAGTTTGCACTGTCACCTGCTATTCCAGGGCTAACAAATACTTATAAATTTTGTTCCCTCGTAATTTGAGTCTATGGCAGAACCCCTTGCATTTCTTTCTAATTTTCTACTTCTTGGACAAGCTCTTGTAACTTGTGCGTTGCAGACATTCCTCTCAGAGGAACTGACATGGCTGAAAGCGAAGGATGAATATAATACATGCAATGTTCCAGGCATTGTGCTGTTCTAGTAAAAACGAGTGCAATTGAACCCCAAACTCGAATGAGTTTGACGCCTGTAGGTTGAAGTGAATCAAGAGCTGGCCCATTTCTGATGCTTCAGATAAGTTTCTGCCCTCCACTCCTTTCTGCCACAGTTTCAAACTCAAACCACCCTAAAGTGTGCATGCTGTGAGATGCGTGTGTGTGTGTGTGTGAGAGAGAGAGAGAGAGAGCGCAAAGAGGAGGCAACAAATCTATGTACATCTTATAAGATCCAGTGCCTCGTAAAGAATGCAAAATTGAATTTTGTTTTTGTATTTTAAAAAAATTTAAATTTTATTTATTTTTTATTTTAAATTAAAAAAAAAATTAATTTTTTCATATCATTTTAATATATTCATATCAAAAATAATTTTAAAAAATTATAATAATATTATTTTAATATATTTTTAAATAAAAAATATTTTAAAAATAACTACATAGTCCATGATGGAGTCACATGGATGTAAAATGAGCAGTTGCCCCATTAATTTTTTTTTAAATAATTTATTTTGTTATCTTTTTTTTTCATATTAATTAGTTATTAAAAATATTATAGTTTATAATAATATATGTGTTTTTTGAATTAATATATGTATAAGCAATATTATATACTAATAAATATAAATTGAAATAAGTTTTAATGATTTGATAAATACTTTACAATAAATGTTATATGAAAAATTATGGTAATGATTAAAAGTGAAATACAGAATAGCTAAAAAAATTAAGGATATAATAGATAAATTAAAAATAAAATATTTAATATTTATATTTAATTCACTTGTACAAACCAACAAGTTAGTAAAAATAATATTAATTTATGATCATCCTTTTAAGTTATGATTTTAATTGTTATTTATCATATTTCAGCATAAAATTATTACTAAAAACTTTTATAATTATTAGAAGATTTAGGAATAAATAAATAAAAATTTATTGTATATATTAAGAAAAATATTTTTAATGATATTAAAAATAATATCATTATAAAATAATTTTAAAATATAAAATCTTGAAGTGAATAATTATAATATATATTTTTTTATTTAAAAAATTTTTAAATTAATTTTACTTTACTCAAGTTTAACTCCAACTATACATAGTACAAAACATAAAAGGTCTGTTTATTATGTCTTCGTGGAATGGGACCCCCTTGGTGTTGGTGACGGGGAGAGGAAGAAGTGGCGGAGCGGGGAGTGAAGGGGGTGGACTGGAATTGCAAGGTAGTTTTAAATGTTTTCCTTCCAAACTGGTTTTTTTTTTTGAAAAAAAAAAGATATATAGAGAACGTTGACTTCCTTCTTTTAGTTTATTAACTTTAGATTTGCCTTGGAGCGCTGTGTACGGGTTAGAATATTTATTTTACCAATAAAAAAAATATTTTACCATCAAATATATTTTAAAAAAGATTTTTAAAAATAAAACTTTTGAAAATAAAATAAAAAAAATTATAAAAAATAACAAATAAAAAAACATAAAATAGTTTCGGTCATTTTAAAAATTTACAAAAATCATATAAAAATCCAATGATAAAATATTAAATGATAAAATTAAAAAAAAAATCAATTAAAAAATTAAATCAACTAGATCAATTTGTTAAACTTACGATCTGAATCATGAGAGAAAAATAACTTCTTAAAAAAAAATTAGAAAAACAAACCTTTTAGTAAAGGTCAAAATAAAAATCATATAAAAAGCAAGGGTCAAGAAAAAATTGGAAAATTTTTTTAAAAAAAAACTAGATCAATTAGATTAATCTGTCAACTCGCAACTCAAGTTATAAAGTTAAGATAATCTCTTAAATAAAAAAATTAGGAAAACAACCCGATCAGTAGAGATTAAAATTTCAATACTCGTGATTTTAATTACGAGACCAAAATATTTTCACAAAAAACAAACCAAAATATATTATAAAACTGAATTCTCAACTAATTCTATGTTAAATGATAAATATAAAAAAAATTTAATTAAAAATAAAAACATATAAAATACTCAAGACAACTCAAGTTACCCATTATTCTCAAGTCACGAGATTAAAATAATTTAATAAAAAATAAATAATATAAATCATAAAGTTAATTCTTAATCAACTTAATATTAAATAATTAAATTAAAAAAAAATTACTTAAAAAAATCTAAATCAATTATATTAACCTACTAAACTTCCAATTTGTATAATCAAAGTTAAATAATCTAATAAAAAATACAATTAAAGAATATACATATTAATTGAAAAAAAAATCCCATGATTAATAATTTATAAGAAAAGTAGATGGTGTACAATATAATTTTATAAGAAGAGATACAAAAACTTAATCTTTTAGTTTCCTTATTAATTTGTGTATTTGTAAAAATTTTATATTTTTTATTTAAAATTAGGTTTTTTTATGATTTAAAAATATTTTAATATAATAATATAAAAATTATTATTTTAATACATTTCCAAACAAAAACACAAAAATAATCAATAAAAAAAACTGCCTTAATCGATAACAATAAGAAATTGCGTCAGTGCTACTGTACTAGCAATAAAATCTCATATTCAAATCCCATCTTTGTCTGACGTTTCCTAATTTATGCTGAGAAAAACAGTACTAAAAGTACCTTGTAATTTCCCAGGAGAAGAACACCATGGGTCCAAGAAACTTTGGTAGAAAAAAAAGAACAGAGAGAAACAAAGAAGAAACGATGACAAAAAATCGAGTCCATAACAGCCAGCTGAGACAACAAACATGTGAAATGTGAACAAGCCTGAAACAAAAATTTGTATACCTTGCCCGAGTAGAAAAAAAAAATTAAGATTTCACATTTTGTTTAGATTTCCCTGTCTTTTCTTGAGCCTTCGGACCAGCAAGGGAACTGGACTTTCTAAGACAGAGACGTTAATATTGTTCCAAACATCAGATTTGGTGGGGAGTTGGGCAATTTTCTCTGCAATTTCCATGTCTTCTGGAAGAACAGAACCGAAGACAGTGTATGCTTTCTTCCATTCTTGGTGATTGGCTAGGCTAATGAAGAATTCTGGACCAGAGCTAACCCAGGCTACTGAACCCCTTCTTATGTATGGGCACTCTTCTGTTGGAATTTTCTTGAATGATGTTCCTTGAGCTTCTAGTGTCCCTTGAATCATTGCAAAAGGAGGGCCAAAAGGAGCCTGGAAAATACCAAATAAAATACAGAGCTCTGAGTGAACCAAAGATTGAAATGATGAGACCCCAGGCAAACATTGCTGAAACCTTTTATAAATAGCATGCAATAGAAATATGATTAGGTGAAACTTTAACACAGCAGAATCGCAGTGCTCACATAGAACTCCAACTACTGAATGAAAATTGCATCTTCACATTTCTTATTGCCTGTCACATAGGAGACTCACATCACAACTAACAAAGCTTACCTTTTTTATGTGGTTCCCTTCTGCATCCCACAATTGACCTCGGCCCTCGGCACGATAAAATTGGCAACCAGCGCAATGATGCAGAGTGAGCAACTCAAGAATGTAGGCTACAGAATGGGGAGCACAGTCTGGGAAGAGCTGCACCAGGCAATTTTTAGTCCAACGATTGACTTTTAGAAAGATGCATAAAGTCGAAGAATCTGAAGAAATAGATCAACTCCATGAGTGGAGCGCATCACAGTTGACTTGTTAGAGGCATTTGGAACACAAACCTACCGAAAGTATGATCACTTACTTTTATATGAAGAGTGCCAAATTCTGTTTCGAGGCCAACAATGCCCTGAAAGGAGAAAGTGTAAGTGCAAGCAAGGATATTAATAGAGGGGATCCTAAAACAAGTGTACGCAAGGATATTAATAGAGGGGATCCTAAAAATAAGTTGGAAGCTGCAGCAATGACAAATGTATAGAACAGAGGAAATTAGCAGCAATGACAATGGCAACCACATGGACATTTTTTACAATAAAAATGCAGAAAGACGCATCAAATAAACTTTGTTATTAAGATAAATGAAATACAGCAGAAATAGAACAAAGAAACTTCAGCAATTAACATAAATACAAAGCTAAATAAACTTTGTTATTAAGATTTGCATATGTCACCACATCCATTCCAGCAGCAAAAGAACAAGCATCTACCCAAAAAATTAAAAATGAAAAACCTTTGACTAGTCAGATTACCTAGGGCTACAACAGAGAGCAATTTACAAAATTGTGAAAAGATTATCCATAGTCAAAAAACAGCTTTCTTACTTGAAGAGACTCCAGTTACCAGTGTAAAGTATAACCAACAGTAATGCATGTGAACAATACTGTGGTGCCTGATAATAGGCAACTAGTATTTCAGATCATGCAAAAGAAAGACCCAAGTGATATTTTAATCATTTAACAGAGTATTGATACATAATAATGCGTGTCCAGTAAGAAGATTCCACCTTGATCTTTATAATTTTAACTCAAAAAAATGAAGATGACAAGATAATCTAATTGAGAGTGCACGCTGTATGTTGGCTATATACTGTCTCCATAAATGGAATCAAATTTCATCAAACTAAAATA